CACACACACACACACACACGGTTTTTGTAGCAAAGTTCGTAGAGAGGGTGTTCGGTATTTTAACAGTGGCTATAACAACCAATTGTAAACGTGAAGTGCGGTAGTCCCAGGATTGAAACGGGATACATGCTATGGAATGACACTGTTTTGGGACAAACTCAATGCATTGTGTCTCAAAAATGGGCCAATGTCATAGCAACAAGGAACTGCGGGGATGGCTTCCTTTGTGCAGCATCTGAGCTATCCATGAAACGAAGGTAACGGTCGTTTGCGCATATTGTCAAAGTACTTTTATAAGGAGGCGAAGGTTATAAGTTAGACCGAATAACACCCAAAACAATACACTAAGTTATGAAATTTATGAGTACAGGAAATTAACTGGAAACATTCTATGCAAAGGATAACTCACTCTGGAAGTAGCTGCTCAGCTGCACAGGCTAAATAATTTATGTCGGTTCCCATACGGAATCTATCTCGGTTAGACATCGCAATTCGGGTGTACGTTTGTTTGAATTCACTTCCAGCACAACAGAGATCAACTTTTCACGGGAATTAAAATTACCATTCGTTGGATGAGTGTAACCAAAAATTCATCGAGTGGTACGCAGTCGCTTAGACTGTGTGATTTCTCGGGGACTGTGGGCGTTGTCGGTTAAAGTTAACAGAATCGATTCGTAATAACTTGTAACAATATCCGTTATAAATGAATTGGTTAAGTTACTTTTTTCTGAATAAAAAGATTTGTTATATATATATATCCAGACTGTGTGCCAAACAAACTACAGCACAAAAGTCTCCGTAAAAGGAGAGAGGCACCATGGTTAGCTAGAGTGGACGGGAATACTACCGCGTGGCCCAAACCAAAAAAGGTGAAGTTCCTTCGGGGAATTCACAACCGGAGCCTTAATCGGCTCATGTGTGCATTCGTTGGACGAGGATAATGCTCTCACTGGACTCTATTTCGCTCTTCATCAAATGCTTCAATCAGCAAAATGATCGCATACCTGTGTAGTTATGTATGCATGTGTGATGACCAAGGTGCGAGTAACATACCCGGTCATGGAGTTGGAAGGTTCATTATTTCTCTTCTCATTCTGCCATGTGTTCCCATCCTACCCCCTCGCTTGATTTTTGGACATAAATTGTGATGTATTAACGAGCTTGTTCTCCTTACAAATATATGATCATTGAGAATTTCAAATACGGTCCGAAAAAGAAATTAGCTCTAGATAATCTGTGACGTTAATTTTCCCTTTACCAAAACAATTGTTTGATTTCTCTTTTGTATCGTTGAATATTGATCTGTGTATAAACAGCGCGATATTTATTTTGACGCTTTTGGCATGATTAAGAATCATGAAATACGAGCTAATATGTTACACTTTGTTCTAGTTAAAACGAAATGTTGCTCATCAAGCAATTACACCGAATCACTTGTCACAAATTCCTATGTTTCTATTTGAAAAAATCGCACAGAACTAACTATACATGGTATGCGTTCAGATTGTAGCGTAAAGAGAAGCATTTGTTATAATTTTGTGCGTTACTTTCATTATAGTGCATATATATATATATATATATATACATATAATATCCGGGGAAACTCACTGTAATCTGCCCTTTTTGGCCGCATAATGAAAGGCAAGACGCTCTCGTTCGTTTTTCGCCAATAAGTTTGCTCCATTGTCCAAAAGAGTCTGTAGAACAAAAGGTGCAGACGTTTGGGGAGCGGGGGAGGGGGGTGAGAAATCTCCGATCGATTGTGTCAAGAAGAGAGTTGTAAAACAGCTTTGGCATGAAACCAAAGCAAAGATGGGAACAGTTGAATCTTAAACACTGCATCAATTCATGGGAGAAATAGGCGTCTTTGAATAGTCAGAGGCTAGAAGTATACTAACTACACTTGTCTGATCTGTCTTATGTTTTGTTTTGTTTTATTTCATGAGTGTGATTGGCCGGGGATCGGCAGCTTTTAGTCTTACAAAAAAAAACCTGCCGATAGTGAACAATTTATTCAGAACAATCTAACGAATGATATTTTTCTTTTGACGTCTTCTTACGTGTCATCTACGATAGATACAATTAGTATTATTCACGACTTGGAACCAAAGCCCTATTCAGACAAGAGATGAATATGGGTATGGACGATGAATGATTGTATAAACCATTCATCACCTATACTCACCTATACTCAGTACTGAAATTCTGAGCGTGAACAAATTTGAGTTGAACAAAAGTTCCAATCACCCACATAGCGCAACAGAAAGCACGTAATCTTTTTATCTTAAAGGAGAGAAATTTCAGTTTGCAAGCAATAGTTTGGGTATGTAAAGACAAGTGAAAGTGACTTTCAGATGTGACACCTAGGTACTTCACATGGCTGATCCTGTCCATCTGCTTTCCATGAATCTGTATATCGCTGTACAGGGGGAATAATTAATGGGCGAGTCACTGATGTAAGTCGCAAAATGATAGGGTGGTAGGACAGCACCTTGAAGTACACTAGAACTACTGAGTGTACGCAAGATGCTGTTATTCATCTAGTGGACAGAGATCATGGACTTGGATAAATCATCATTCAGTGTTAATCGGGACTTGACAGACCAGTATTGTCACACACAACACGTTCGTTTGATTCAAAATTTATGCATCTTTTCCTCGAAGCATTTCAGTGACGTGAATGAATCGAAGAGCTCAGTGTGACTAGCTGAGCACTAACCAACGGGATTCGGTCTTTGGTTCTGTCTGCCGTTGGGACAATGTGTATAGGATTGTTCCTTTTTTGATTATATATTTTTGTGCGACGAACAACAGGCGGAGTGAATCCCATGGTCACAAACGCCTGCTGTTCAGTGATGGAACGTGATGGTAACCCAAGCCCCGTGGGATTTGGAGTGGTTATTGAACCGGATAACAACAAACCTGATATCAGGCAGTCTAATTGAATGCACGGTTCAACTGGCCTCAAAAATCCACTCATTCGATATCGGTAAATGATTTAAACATGCAGTGAATTAGATATCATATTTGTATGCCAAGCTGATCGTATCCCCAAAATGCACAAATTGTATGAATAGAATGCATAGTCCAGGCGCTCCCGGTTCACTCTATACTCACGAAAACAGATAGTCTTGCATTATTTTCACTGGGGACTTAGTTGGAAAGATGTAAGGTTTGAATAAAACAAGTAACTCAATATGAGCGGAATTGATATGGATAATCATATCCGCGTGCTCTCAGTCAGCTGTCTACGCACATTAAATAGGTCAAATTTTATCATAAGAATACCATATATGGACATTTACATAATCGCATGGGTTCAGGCAGAAAGCACTGGGTGGTTGAGTCATTACCAAAGTCATTTGGGTATGGGTGAAAGAGGAGGAGGGGAATGTTAGCATAGAAACAGTTACGTAATGGAAAACGATAAGCCGTGATGGAAAGAGAGTTGAACATGGCTACGTAATACGAAAATGATACAACTAGAAATAAATTCGAATAGACGTAGAAAGTTAACAGAGTAAAAACTTGGTCAATTAAGTAGGTCGAAGAGAGTTACGTAATAAGAAAATGAGAAGGGTGAATTATCATCGATGATGTAAGAGAACGGTTGAGATGATGAGAAGGAAAGGGGAGGGGAATTACCATGGTAATAACAACTGCATCACAAAAGCCTTTTGCACGCATAGGTCAAGCTTTAAACGGCTAATGACAACCGCTTCAGCAAACCTAAGCATCCTTGGGCTTCGAACTTTGAGCACAACGCGGAAAGCTTTGCGTTTGTTGATGCAGTGTCCGGTATCGAGCAAATGTCGTGCCACTGCGCTTGCTGGAAGCTTTCCTCCTCTAAGTGATAAGTTATTCGGAACCTGCTCACTCATTCTGATCGACAGTCGGCGTTCAGTCCTTCCGACATACCGCGAACCGCAAGTACATTGAAAAAGATAAATGCAATTGGAGGTGACCAAATCATTGGATCTGCTTATGTTTGACCGCATTAATGAGTCAATTATTCCGTGAATCATGATCAGCTTCGCGGCACGATAGATGGACTCAACTCTAGTACGAAGCCGACGACCACCCCGTTCAATTACATCGTCTCCTTTAAATGGTACACCAATGGAAACTGGTTTCTTTTCGACCGTAGTGTACGTTGGTCTGGGAATGGTAGGTGTGCAATATTTCTCTACAAAAGGCAGGGGATAACTGTTAGAGGACAAGGCAATCATCAAATCTCTAAGTTCATTTTCTATCACTTCCAGACTACACAGAAGATGAACTCTGTGGAATAAGGCCCTTGCTAATCCAATCTTGTACCGTAGTGAACAAAAACGTTTCAAAATGCCAATACTGGCCTGTGCACGTACACTTCGGATCATTTGAGGTCAGGAACGAACCATACTTCGATCTTGTCATTGATGAGATAAAGACCAATTCTACAATCAAGAACGACGCTATCCAGAGGGTAGAACTCGTAGAACTCTGTATGAAAACCTACTTCCAATTTGACGGTAAGGTATACGAGCAGATACGAGGAACTCCCATTGGTTCCACGCTCTCAGGCCTGCTTCCAGATGCGGTTACACATCGAAATCAAGGCTTTTGAAATTCGACAACCTCGTCAATGGATATAGTTCAGTTCAGTACTTATAACCATTAACCATGCACTTCTGTGTGTCGGTTTCGATTGCCGACTTTTGGTTGCCCATTTGGATTAAATACCAGGATGATGATTAGAATGTCGAGAGCAGAGTCAAGCGGAAGATAGCACATTTTGATGGACTGAAGTAACAAGAATATAGAGCAGATGCATGAGCGCCACTGATTGCGAAACCCATCCATATCGCTCAGTGTCTCCAACCATCGGTTACGATCATCCCGAGGTCCCCAGCCAGGGAGCCTAACGGGACCTATGTGACCCAGTCTGCTGGTCAGGGTTTTCATACCCTCGTACCAGGTCTTAGCTTGATCACCCTTGGCTTTGTCCACTCAGTATCTGCTTCGGTGAACATCGCTCGCCGTGGTAACCTATCTGGTGACATGCGTAGCACATGTTCCAACTAGCGTAATCTACGG